TAAAACAATGTGTGACGCAGTACACCAACAAACTCCTGAGCGCCAAGAATCAAATTGAAATTTAGTATGATCTGAGATCTGAAGCTTATAAGAGAGAGTTCAGCCACCTTTACCAGTTACTATTCTCAATATCTACTTCTCAAATCTAGCCGAGGCAAAATTCCATCCAATAAAATGCTTCCATTTTCTGATTCTAACTACAGAAATGATGTTCTTAACTGTACCTGTAACTCTCCTGTCCCTGGAGTTCTACCGAGTTTCGAGGTTAAAGCTTTGGCACTGCTTGCAGCTCCATTACAAGAGTCCGTCGAAGCTGCGTTGTGCATCAATTCCGCCAAATTAGGCACTGATAACCTATGCTGTTCACCACGAGTTCCCGTAATTCTAGCTCTGAAGTAAAAATTGTTAATCTTAGACGAAAATACGATAAAACCAGGGAAAATAAAAAAACTACTTCTACTTCTAAAAAAATTGAAAAACCTCCACATACCACCCTAAATAGCCCGAGACAAACATATCAATTTCAAGAAATCCAGTAAAAGAACTTCAAGTAACGTCTAAACCAGAATAGAATCGCTACCTAATAAAAGATCCGCCTTTCGACGACTCTCCAGTCGACCGCTGTATGCTAACCAAATTTTCAGATTTCATAGAACTGTTTAGGGACATCAGAGCGTCGTTCCTGAAAAACTCCACTAGTAAACTATCACAACTAAAAACATCTGTAATGTAATACAATCTAATCACTAAAGAGGAGCAATGCAAAACGTTTCATAGCTGCAAACTAAAATGTAAGAAATGTGTTTTTGCTTTCTTAAAGTCCCAAAAACCCTAATCGAAATAGCTGATACGAATCGCTTTAATCAAGTAATAACTGCATCAAAAATCAATTGAAATATTTTAAAAAATAGTAAAAACTTACATAAATTACACAACAAGCAGCATTAGTGGCAAATAAGGCATATTTACCCGTTAATTACAAAAAATTCTAAAAATCGCAAATACTTATCACTTGAAAAGTATTAATATACTGACTCCGTTTATCAGCTTAAGATCTGAAGTTTACTAAAGTAGTTTAGATATTTAGATCATTCTTTGATATCTTGGAAATAAAACCAGTAGCTTATCATGTGACAGATCTATCTGTTCAAGCAGCACTACTTCACAGGGAAAAAAACCAGACACGGTTAAACTATAAAACATTCTAAATGATTAGCTGACTATGAGGACATGCAGCAACGAAAACTACAGAAATCAACATTACTGAAACTCAGCGTTCCTCGTAAGATTTCTTAGACCAAGTTCCACACTTAAGTTTAGCTAGTAAATATGTGTGAAGTCCCAGGAATGAAAGTTCTGACTCAAATGTAACTAAAAGTTGTATTTCCTGCTTTTCAAAAGCTCCATATTTCAAAATTCTCGTGCGCATTTACCTGTAACCATAACAAAACCTTCACTCAGCCTTTTTTTAAATTAGCTTTCTTTATTTTCAAAGTATAGAAAGATTGGAACAGGCCTGCAACTTCATGTCAATAATTAAAACTATAAAGTAGTTGCTAGCACTAAAATACCCAAAACTCAAACATTGGAAACTCTTAGACGACAGAAAGACCTGCAAGAAACATAAAAGACATAGCAATTTAAAACTTGCGCAGGAGAATAGAAAACGACTCATAACTTTCAACGTTACATAAGTTAGCGACGCTGGAAGATTCCTCTCGTTTGAGTCTTCTTACAGTAAATCGCCTTTAAAATAGCAAAAAATGATGTTTAACGATCAAGAACTGACAAATTTTCAAAAATCATGTGATAGTTAACACTTGTAGTATTTGGCGCAGCCTACGTACCGTAGAGTAGCCTAAGACGGCATCTTCATGGGTGATACGTATGCATGGTGCTCCTATCCATAGAAAATTGCGAATAAGATCTTTCGCAACTGTCTACGGTACATGTTTCTGGGGGCAAGAAAGAAAAAATGTTTTCCAGAAAAAACGAAACAAACTGTTTTCTGAAGTTTTTTTAGAAGTTTGTCATAGCTTATAAAGATTAATAAAAATTGAATAAAAAATGAACTCTAAACAAACTTTATTAAATTAAACGGACATTATTTAAAAATAAACTGCTTTAAAGAAACAACAATCTTGTTCCTCAAAAACAGAAAACTTCAGGAGCCATCCCCGCAGAAGATAATGAAGAACGATTCCGGAAAGCCCAACGAGGTGGCACACAAAGGTGAATTGAATGAAGAAGGAAATTATTACACCAGCTTTTTGAAGAATATCGCTGAACAACACATCAGCTACAGCTGACCTCAATTATTTCAGCAATACACTCAATATGCCAAAACATTTATCGCTTCAAACAGCAGCACTCCCCTTGCTTTACCGAATAAAACAACAGTTTTTGTGGGCCCAAATAAAAAGTTACAACAATTGGTCAACCACTGTTAACCCAACATTAAAACCAACCTTCTAATCCTTTTTATCTGTAGAAAGAAAACGTCTTCTGTTCAGCTTTTCCAAAAAATCCAAATGAAATTAGACAAAATGCTCCATCGCACCCACTTTGTAGAGAAAACGATGGAACGAAAACAGCGAATAAAAAATTAGACTGAAAATGGATAAAAAGTGGCAGCAAAATTGCACTTAAAACTTTTTACTGAAGGTTTGTTGCTTTTCCAAAAGTTTATCGCATCATGTTAACAAAGAAATGAGAGATTCAAAGGTGTCAATTATACTAAAATGGCAGTAATTATAAGGTTTTAAATACATAGATTTTTAGTCATTCTTTTTTGGTAGTATTGCATAATATTCAAGTAATCAAAATATCCACATAGTTTGTTCATTTTGTAGCTTTTAAAGGAACTTTACTGAATAATGGAGTATCCATACTTAAAAAAAAACTACTAGACGTCTTGTTTATTCATGCTCATTTAATGTAAAACGTTATTACCTTAACACTTAGCATGATTAACTTGGAAACTACTAATTTGTAATAAGCATACCAAATCACTTGCATTTAACCTACGAAGCAAGCAGCAACCCGACTCGTCAGCGAGTAACCAAGTGAATAGTCAGCGTACATAACAGTTACTAAAATTTGTTACATATGTGAGCACTTTTGATTATCCCAACCGGATCATCAAAAAGAAGACAGTGAGAGCAAAATAACAAAAATCTGTAGTACTAAATTGTGGCAAGCTTTCACAAGACTGAGGAATTAACAGCGCTTAAAAACCTCAACTTTTAATGCGACAGAAAAGTTAGCAAGGAATAACTACAAGAGACCTAAACAAAGGTTCAAGGAACGTAGAAAGCCTTCGCTTTCAGTGATTTCATCATTCCTACTGCTGATAACAGGAAATCCTTAACTCAGTGAAATGGGTTGTACAAGAAAAGTGTTAAAGTGCAGATATCAAGAGATTGAGAGAGCTAGGAGTTTTAACATCATTCTAAAGAAAACATTTCAATCTTCTCACTTACTGAGCTCAGCGAAGCGAAGTAACGTGAAAATTACATGGAAAAACACATTTATACGTAAATCAAGAAGGGCAAAACCTTATGGCGCTGCAGTAAATACGCTTGTTTTGAATGCAGTGTCCATTTTTTGAGTGAATTTGCAATAAAAGAGCGCGTAATATGTCATAAAATTGCTCTCGTCCTAAAGTAATTCGCCCTGTTTACTTTGTAACAGCTTGTAAAACGGTCGTAGAGGAACAACTGAGCGTCATGTTTGCATTGTTAAACTTAAGAAAAAGCTTGTAGGGCTATTAACAAACAGCTTTTGGTTTCAATACGAAGGTACACAAAAAGATGGATTTGGCAATTTTACCTTCTGATTTTAAACAATAAAGAGCCGGGTGTAAAGAAAAAATTACGATTAAACACATTCTAGAAAGTAAAGTACAGCTTTTGTACATATAGCCTTCAAAAAACTCTACCAAAACAAAAGAAAGAAGATTCAAATTGGGAAAAGAATGAAATAAAAGATGAAAATAAAAAGTATAAGAAAACTTCACGTAACCGGCAATTTTCGATTAGCAACCACCAGCGGTTTCTTTACTTGGTTTCAATTCATCAATAACTAAGAAAGGCACAATAAAAAGCATAACAGTAAGAAAAAGGAAATTATCAATGTTACCTTTTCCTTTTCATTCCCTCAGCGCAATTTCTTGAATTTATTTCGCTTTGGAAACACGACTGTAACCCTCCAAGCCCTCGGAAGCTTCCAGGAGAAGGACTGTAATCAGCGTGGTGGATCCTGCCAACTGAACTAGCACAAAGATCACTCCGTTCACGGCGTAGAGTCATAGGCTTCGGCTTTATAGCAGGCTTTATTGCAACTGTAAACCCTGGTGTTCTAAGATATGAAGAGCCAACGAAATTAAACATAAAACCAGCTTCTTTCCCATTAAAAAGCCTTTGTTTTCCAAAAATGACATAATTAGTAAGTTTTTTCCACCTAACGCTCACCTTTTGATAACACTTTTAGAATAATGAAAAGAAGCAAGAAAACACAACAGTTAGCAAAGTGTAATTATAAAGCGAAAAAAAAAGTAATGTTCCAGTGACCAGCAAAGTTACAAACTAATTAAGAAGTGATTTTTTTGAAAAAAGGAATTCAATTCACCAAAAAATAAGTACCATTTGTATGAAGATTTAGCCCAACCAGCTTCCGCTCTTTCTCTTGACTAATTTCTAGAGCATCAGCAGAAACTTTTCTCGGTTTAAATGTGCGCAATGAAGGAGCTGCTTGAACCGTACTAAGCCAGTCAGTAGAGCTGGTTGTTGCCTGTTGCGAGTGATTATCGCATTCTTGCCTCGATGAGAGTGAAAACGCCGAATGACTACTTAAAAACAGCAAACATAAGGAAAAATCAAAGAGACAAAAAAATTAAAAGTACTTTTAATTGAAGAAAAAAAAAAAAAGAAAGAAATGAACACCATCCTAAATAATCCACCTTAGATGAAATGAATGACCGAAACCGACCAGTGTCATACACAACTAGACCTCCAAAAGCTCAAAAACAACACACTACTGTTTTGGACATGTAGTAATATTTTATGAGATGTCGAGTAGATCAGATGCTCAGTATAATTTCTGATATATTAATAACATATATTACTGAAATGTTAATAAAACTTACTCTATAAATATTTTTTGTCAAAAAAATAAACGAAATATTAATTCAAGGCACAGAAGAAACAGAACCTTGCTATTTTATTGTACTCCATCGGCACATAGACGTCACAGTGAGCCAACGAGTTCATCATGCCTGGACCGTTCGCTTTATTATAACGTGTGTCAAGATTCGTATCCTTTGACTCATACAAATAATTCTTTACAACAAGCTTTTTTGAATTAGAATTCAATTTGTCGTTCTGGTACGAACAGTTCAAATTTACCCGCTCGGCTGTAACATTGATAAGTCACTTTCATGACAGTCCACTAAATTCTCACTTGATAGTTAAACAAATTTCAGTTCTATAAAAATGATGATAATGCAGCTTGGGCAACATATCTGTGGTTTTTTATTTATATCACTACTGAAAGAGGAAGAACACTGAACCGTTAATTGTGTCAGAAGAATCTTTTCAATAAGACTTGAAAGTTTTTTAAAAAATTTCAAATTCAAGAATTGGAAAACGCAAGCAAAAACTGAAATATTCTATAACAAGACAACTGCAAGAACTATACAAAACCAACAATGTCGAATAAATATTTGTAAAAACTAGCCGCAAACAAGTCAAAAAATAAAGACTAATAGTGACACTTCTATGCCGTTTTTAAACTTACAGTTTTGAAGACGATCACGCTTAATCAAGACGCTTTGACCCTTCCGAAAAGAAGAACTTGAAGGAGCCTGAGTAGCTGAAGAAGTGGAAGTAATTCTTTCAGTTCCGTAACGTCTCCTACCCTCTACTTTTGACGAGGTTTTCCTCCTCGTAACCGAATTTGAAGATGCTGTACGAGAGGCACCTCGTTTGCAAGCTAATTCGCTTGTCCAAAAATCTACAAAGCAATGAAGAAAGTAATTGCAATAAGCTTTTAACCGCATCAACATATTCACTGCTCTAAGAGTCTTAAAAATCGACATGAAATATAAGCTAAAATAATAATGGTAAAAATGATTATAAAACCACTACGTGTTACACAGAGCAAACCGTTTAGACAACTGTTATCCTATTTATTTAAAAATAAGAAAAAATACCAGTTAAAAATAATCCTTTTTTTCTCGAATATCCAATAATAATTTATTAATAAGAAGAATGTACAAAATAATTTTGAATTACAATTAAGAAAAGAACGTATTAGTTTAAACTTCAATTAGAGAAAAATATCAAACGAATAAAAAATAGATTATTTGTGACTGAAGTACCCAAACTATTAATCCGTCAAAAAAAGTAATATTACAGCATTAAAACAATGAAGAAAAATTCTGAAAAATGTTGTTCTTTTTGATTTTATGGTTCAGTCCTGGACAAAAAGACAGTCTTATCCTAAAAAACGTAGCAGTGCCATGCACTGAAACAAATGTAACATAAACCAAGAAACAAAAAAAGCATGCAAAAGAGGAATAAGGACGGGCAGTCCATGAAGGGATGCAACAAAAAACTGGCCAAAAATCCGTCAGAATAACTTGAATGACACAGACCCATCTGACTAACTGCAGAAATGCTGTTTTTCTAATGTGCTGTTAGGCAATAATCGTTTTAGTCCTCCCCTTCATCCTCTCTCCTCCTCTCCCCTGCATTCTTAATGCAGTACTACAAACACATCAACAAAACGCCATTCAGTTTTACCCATCTGAACCGTCGTCCAATGTACACATACGTTCAGCCCATGTTGCTATTGTTTTTAGCCACAAAACATAGATCTAGTAGAGGAAAATTTGCCATATGTACTTCTTACACGCGATATAAACGGTTTGATACACATCAAAAAATATGTGCAATAACTGTACCATTGTGCAAGCGTAAGACAAAGCCAAAGAATAACAACTTTTAACAGATTAAAAGAAGTAAAACAGAGATTTTTTTTTTCTTCTCCATACACTAACACTGATAATAAAATTCAGTTACTGCATTTCTTGAAAGAAATTTCTTTAACGACGATGAAAAAATAGTTCAAAAAACGAAAGTTAAAGAAATGCTCTCTTCTTTTTTTTTTTTTTTGCACATTAATAACTATTCAGGTCACGCATATTTTATGCCATAACCATTATAAACGTTTTAAAAATAATCTGGAAAAAAAATTTTTTTCATATTATTTAAGTTTAAAAAACTAAACAATGCATTAAAGTAAAGTCTAAATTTTCTCCATCCAT